GTCCTTCAGTTTTGTTTTTCTTTTTCAAGATTTTTTTGTCTATTCGGGGTCCCTTGAGACTCTATTAATTTTAGGATGTTTTTTTTTTTTTTTTCTGCAAAAACCGTCATGGGGCTTTTGGTAAGGATTGCATTGAATCTACAGAGTGCTTTGGGCAATATTGATGTTGTAAAAATATTATGTCTTCCAATCCATGAATATGGAATGTATTTCTATTTATTTATATCTTTTAAAATTTCCTTCAGCAATGTTCTGTAGTTTTCATTGTACAAGTCTTTCAACTGGTTGGTTAATTCTTCTTCTTTTTTTATTTTTTGAGGAAGATCAACCCTGAGCTAACTACTGCCAATCCTCCTCTTTTTGCTGAGGAAGACTGGCCCTGAGCTAACATCCATGCCCATCTTCCTCTGCTTTATACGTGGGATGCCTACCACAGCACGGCTTTTGCCAAGTGGTGCCATGTCCGCACCCGGGATCCAAACCAGTGAACCCCAGGCTGCCGAGAAGCAGAACGTGCACACTTAACTGCTGCACCACCTGGGCAACCCCTGGTTAATTCTTAAGTATTTTATTCTTTTTGATGCCATTGTAAATGGAATTGTTTTTGTAATTTCCTTTTCAGATTATTCATTGTTCGTGTGTAAAAATGCAACTGATTTCTGTGTGTTGACTTTGTATCCTGCTTCTTTGCTGAATTTATTAATTAATTTTAACAGATTTTTGGTGGGATCTTCAGGGTTTTCTACATGTAAGATCATATCACCTGCAAACAGAGAAGATTTTATTTCTTTCTTCCCAATTTGGATGTCTTTTATTTCTTTTTCTTGCCTAATTGTTCTTGCTAGAACGTCCAATACTAGGTTGAATAGAAATGGTGAGGGCAGGCATCCTTGCCTTGTTCCTGGTCTTAGAGGAAAAGCTTTCAGTCTTTTACCATTGACTATAATGTTCACTGTGGGTTTTTCATATATGGCCTTTATTATGCTGAGATAGTTTCCTTCTATTCTTAGTTTTTTGAGTGTTTTTTAGAATGAAAGTGTGTTGAATTTTGTCAAGCATCATTTCTGCATCAATTGAGATGATCTTGTGGGATATTTTCATTCATTCTGTTGACGTGGCATGTCACATTGATTGATTTTTGTATGTTAAGCCATCCTTGCATTCCAGGAATAAATCCCACTTAGTCATGGTGCATAATGCTTTCAATATACTGCTGAGGGGCCAGCCCAGTGGCACAGTGGTTAAGTGCGCATGTTCTGCTTCTTGGTGGCCCGGGGTTTGCTGGTTCAGATCCTGGGTGCAGACATGCCACCGCTTGGCACACCATGCTGTGGTAGGTGTCCCACATGTAAAGTAGAGGAAGATGGGCACGGATGTTGGCTCGGGGCTGGGCTTCCTTGGCAAAAAGAGGAGGACTGGCAGTAGTTAGGTCAGGGCTAATCTTCCTCAAAAAAAAAAAATGCTGCTGAATTCCGTTTGCTAGTATTTTATTGAGAATTATTGCAGCAATGTTCATAAGGGATATTGTGCTGTAGTTTTCTTTTCTTGTAGCATCTTTGTCTGGCTTTGGTATTAGAGTCATGCTGGCCTCATAGAATGGGTTAGGAAGTGTTCTGTTTTCTTCAGTTTTTGGAAAAAGTCTGAGAAGGATTAGTATTAGTTCTTTAAATGTTTGGTAGAATTCATCAGTAAAACCATCAGGTGCAGTTTTTTTTGTTGTTGTTGGGAGATTTCTGATTACTGATTCAATCTCCTTACTATTTATGGACCTATTCAGATTTTCCATTTCTTCATGATTTATTCTTGGTAGGTTTTGTGTTTCTAGGAATTGGTGATTTCATCTAGATTATTAAGTTAGTTGGTGTACAATTTTTTTATAGTACTCTCATAATCCTTTTTATTTCTGAGAATCAGTAGTGATGTCCCACGTTCATTTCTGATTTTAGTTGAGACTTCTCTCTTTTTTTCTTAGTCCATCTAGCTAAATGTTTGTCAATTTTGTTGATCTTTTTAAAGAACCAACTTTTGGTTTCATTGATTTTCTCTATTTTTCTATTCTCTATTTATCTCTGCTCTAATCTTTATTATTTCCTTCCTTCTGCTATCTTTGTGTCTAGTATGGTCTGATTTTTTTAGTTCCTTAAGTTGTAAAGTTAGGTTGTTGATTTGAGATTTTTTTTTAATGTAAGCATTTATACCCATAAACTTCCCCCTTAGCACCACTTTCACTGTGTCCCATAAGTTTTGATATGTTGTATTTTTATTTCCATTCATTTTAAGTGTTTACTAATTTCCCTTGTGATTTCTTTTTTGATCTATTGGTTGTTTAAAAGTGTGTTGTTTAATTTCTACAGTTTTGTGAGATTTTCAGTTTTCCTTTTACTGTTGATCTAACTTTATCCTGTTTTGGTCAGAGAAGATACTTTGTATGGTATCTATTTTTCAAAATGTATTGAGACTTAATTTGTGGCCTAACATATGGTCCATCCTGGAAAATGTCCCATGTGCACTTGAGAAGAATGTGTGTGCTCTTGTTGGGTAGAATGCTCTGTATGTGTCTGTTAGATCTAGTTGGTTTATTGTGTTGTTCAAGCCCTCTAATTCCTTACTTATTTTCTGTGTGGTTGTTGTACCCATTATTATAAGTGGGGTATTGAAGTCTCCAACTATTATTGTAGAATTGTTTATTTCTCCTTTCAATTCTGTCAGTTTTGCTTCATATATTTTGAGGATGTTATTAGGTATGTAAATGTTGTAAATGTTCTATCTCCTTGCTGTTTTAAACATTAATAATACATAATGTCCCTCTTGGTCTCTTGTAAACTTTTTGATTTAAAGCCTGTTTGCTATTGGTATAGCCGCCCTACTCTCTTTTGGTTACTATTTGCATGGAATATCTTTTTCCATCCTTTCACTTGCAATCTGTTTGTGTCTTTGGATCTAAAGTGAGTCTCTTGTAGATGGCACACAGTTGGATCATTTTTTTAAAATCTATTTTGCCAATCTCTGTCTTCTGATTGGAGAGTTTAATCCATTTATATTTAAGGTAATTACTGGTAAGGAGAGACATTTGCCATTTTGTTATGTGTTTTCTAAATGCCTTATAGCTTTTTTTTTTTCTTAGGAAGATGTGCCTTGCACTAACATCCATGCCAATCTTCCTCTATTTTTTAGTATGTGGGCCACCAGCACACATGGCTGCTAATAGAGTGGTATAAGTCCACATCTGGGAATTGAACCCAGGCCACCAAAGTGGAGTGCACTGAACTTAACCACTAGGCCACTGGGGCTGGCCCACTTTATAGCTCTTTGTCCTTCATTTGCTGAATTACTGTCTACTTTTGTGTTTAGTTGTTGGGGCTTTTTTCCCTTTTTTTTTTGGTGAGGAAGATTGGCCCTGAGCTAACATCTGTGACAATCTTCCTCTATTTTGTATGTGGGACACAGCCACGGCATGACTTGATGAGTGTTATATAGGTCCATGCCTGGGATCCAAACCCATGAACGCTGGGCTGCTGAAGTGGAGTGCACAAACTTAACTACTATACCACCAGGCCGGCCCCTTTAGTTGATTTTTTTTTATAGTGAAATGTTTTAATTATCTTCTCATTTCCTTTTGTGTATATTCTATAGCTCTTTTCTTCATGGTTACCCTGGGGATTACATTTAACATCCTAAAGTTACACTTTAATTTGAATTTATATCAGCTTAACTTCACTACAAAAACTCTGCTTTACAGCTCCATCTCCAACCCTTTGGGTTGTTGATGTCACAAAATTACATCTTGTACCATTGTGTGCCCCCAAACATAAACTCTTAATTCTTTTAAATGCATTGGTCTCCTAAATTATGTAGAAAATAAGATTTGGAGTTACAAGCCAAAGTTAAAGTAATACTAGCTTTTACACTATTACTTTTTTTCTTTAAATATATAGTCTCTTAAATCACGTAGAAAACAAAAAGTGCAGTAACAAATCATTGTTACAATAACACCAGCTTTTATAGTTGCCCATATATTTACTTCTATTGGGATCTCTATTTCTCCATACGGCTTCATGTTTAGTGTCCTTTCATTTCACCCTGCAGGACTCCCTCAAGCATTCCTTGCAGGGCAGGTCTAGTGGTCATAGACTCCTTCGGCTTTCGTTTCTCTGGTAATGTCTTAATTTCTCCCTCATTTTTGAAGGACAGCTTTGCTGGATAACGGATTCTTGATTGATGTTTTTTTTCTTTTAGTACTTTAAATAGATCGGCCCACTGTCTTCCTGTCTCTACAGTTTCTGATGAGAAATTTGTTGATGATCTTATTGAGGATTGCTTATATGTGATGATTTGCTTCTCTTTTGCTGTTTTCAAGATTCTCTCTCTGTTTTTGTCTTTTGAAAGTTTGATTATAATGTGTCTCAGTGTGGGTCTCTTTGAGTTCATCTTAGAATTTGTGGAGTTTCTTGGATGTTTATATTCAACAAATTTGGGAAAATCTGAAGCCATTTCTTCAAATATTCTTTCTGCCCTTTTCTCTCTCCTCCTTCTGGGACTCCCACAATGTTTATCTTGGTCTGTTCTCTGCTTGAGCTGGGCTATCCATTTTCTTCTGCCCTCAGACATTAGCAGTCCTGGTTCTCAGGCCTTCAGGTTTGGACTGGAACTACACCACCAGTTTTCATGGCCTTCTGGCTTGTAGACAGCAAATCATGGGACTTCTCCACCTCTACAATCATGTGAGCTAATCCCTCATAATAAATCTCTCTCTATATATCATATTGGTTTTATTTCTCTGGAGAACCCTGACTAACACAGGCACTTATTAAGGATCTAAGGTAGGTTATGAATGGGGTCAAGTCAGAGATCCAAAAGACAATCTCTCTTTCTGACATGAGCCTTCCATTCCCCCAGGACTTTTGAGGAGGCAGGAAGGAAATTAAATATATTTATATTGAATATATATTTCAATATATATTTATATTGAAATTTCAACCACAACACATGAAAGTCCTCACCTTCACTGGAGCTACAGTTCCATCTGAGATTTTTTTCTGGGTGCATAGGAACTCAGCTGCACATCTCTTGAGTTTTCAAGACTTTCCCCAAGTCAAGAAGAAAATGCAATGTTTGTGGGGGGCTAGGTTGGGGCCAGATATGCATCCTCTGAGGCAAGACAAAGTTGGTCACTGCTCTCAGATGACACCCCCCTGGCAACCATTGTTCTCCCTGAATGGGCCCTGTTTACCACCCCAGCCTACACCAAGCAGCAGCTCCTAGGTGAGGGCCCCCAGGGAAATGGAGAGGAAGTTATGAAATCAGCTTCCTGGGATTCTGACCTAGATCCAGGGCATGGACAGTAACTGAGCCACATTTCTCTCCAAATAAAAAGTTTTATTGATATTTTCCCAGTTATAAATACAATACTTGTTTAATGTAAAACATGGAATGAATTACAAAAAAAAACTACTCAAAATCACAATGGTCAGAGATAATCTTTGGTTAACATCTGGCAGACGTCTTGAATCAAAATGAGGGTGGATTGAAACCTGGCTTTATAGCAAGAGATAAAGTCACTCAAAAGCCCCCCAAGAAAGTCATTTGGGCAACAGAACTTACCACGTGTAGCAATCTCTGTGAGAGTTTAGGGAAGAAGTCAGTCTATCTCCACAAATTTACCATTTTCAGTTTCCTTGGGCAACTTCCAATTCCCACTTATCTCAGACGTGCTATCCTTTTCCCTAAAAATCTCCCCCCTCCTTATCTTGTCACCTTCTTTGTCATCCTTAATAATTAATGTCCTAAGCCTGTCTTTCCAGCCCCCATCTCTGTCCCAGCATTCTTGGACTGCTCTGGATAAAAGATACACTTAGTCACTATCTAAGGGAAAATGATGGTAATAGAACATTATCACTGTTATAAGTCCAGGACTGCAGTGTCCACTTTTAAGAATATCTCTCCAAAGAGCTACAAAGAGCTTACGCAATAGGAACCAGCTTTTATTTGGTGATGTTGTTGCTTTTATAAAGCTTTTTGCTCAGAATACAAGGGTTCTCTCATTCCTTTCCCTCTTCCTCCTTACTGATTCAGCTTTCCCCTCCTTCCTCTTAACTTCTTGATCCTTGTTATCCCCTTTATATGCTTCTGATGCTTCTCCTTGTAACCAAAGACTACTCTAAAAGAATTATCTTGAGAGTAATGAACATAAGGAGCCCCATGCGGGTGTATAGCCTCAGTGGGAAGTGGCTGGGGCCTAGTGCTCTGGACTCATGGGTGGTACTGTGAAGCCTCCATGTCGACGTGCTCTCAATGCCAGTTGGGGCTCTCTGGGGCAGAGCATAGCTGGGCTTGGGCCAAGGGCCCAAGGGTAGGAGGCTGACTGGTACCACTGTCTTCTTCAGAGGAAGAGAAACGTACTATCCATCTGCTCTGCCTCTGATGCAGAAGTGATGCTGTGGTTGGATATTTAGAGGACATTATCATGGATGAAGAGTTCCAGGCGTTACAGAGAAAAAGTACATGGACAAGTGCTACCACGAATTGGAAGAAATGAAGGATAATAAAATCACCTACAATGCCTATTTTTAATGAATATATTCCCTTGGCAGAAAAGCGTATGAAGGAACAGCTACTGGAGGCTTCCTGAGTTTAACGTGGTGGTTTCCAAACATTACAGCTCCCAAAAGATGGCTGGTGACATACTTGACAGACTGCTCCCATGTATGGATTTTCTGTCTTTCAAAGACATGTTTCTGGACTACAGAGCAGAAAAAGGAGGTCTAGCACTGGGCTTAAGCAGTGGTTTGGTGGCTACTTCATTGTGCAAATCATCTTCCCAGGACACTTTGCAACACTAGCTCTCACCTTCAGCCAACAGGATTGTTGTGGACATCTTTAGCCCAATAGGTTGTTAGAGGCTTAGACTAATGAAGATAGAAGAGTAGGTGTCGGAAACACTGAATTTGTTTGTGGCTGTTCATTAATGTTCAGTATTGAGTCAAAAAGAAAATGAGAAGGTTTTATATTGTTAAGATGATAATACTCCCCAAACTGATATACAGATTTAATATAATCCCTTTCAAAATTCTAAAAGAAAACAATTTTGTTTCTTCTTCTAGTCTACTCACAATGCTTTACTTCTGACACCTGATATGCGAGGTTTTCCACACCAAACAATTTAACTCAATTCTGACACTATCTACCTGGAGTTAGCATCAGATCCCACGGGATAAGGGCTCAGTGCCACAGGTCTGCCTCCCACTTCAGATGCCAACTGCAAGTCTGGACCTCTGGTACTTCTGACCAACTGGCTATAAATTGGGGATTCCTACAACCCCTCTCCTCAGGTTCAATAATTCACTACATTGGCTCACATAACTCAGGGAAACACTTACTTACATTTTCCAGTTTATTATCCAACAAAGGATACAGATGAATAGCCAGATGATGAGGTATATAGGGCAAGGTCTGGAAGGGTCCCAAGGACAGGAGCTTCTGTCTCTGTGGAGATGGGGTGTGCCACCATCCTGGCATGTGGATGTGTTCACCAACCCAGAAGCTCTCCAAACCCTCTACTTTAGGGATTTTTATGGAGGCTTCATCACATAGGCAGGATTAACTATTAACTCAATCTCTCCTCTCCCTGGAGGATAGAGAGGATGTGGGGCTGAAACTTCCAAGCTTCTAATCATGGTTTGGTCTTTCTGGTGACCAGCTCCCCTCCAGGAACCCACCCAGAGTCACCTCATTAGGACAAACGACAATTTGTGTTATTCAAGAGATTACAAGGGCTTGAGGAGCTCTGTGTCAGGAACCAGGGGCAGAGACCAATTTATATATTTCTTGTTATTTCACAATTCCAACTGCCTTTATCCCTCACTAAAGTCGATCCTAAAATTTATACGGAAATACAAGGGACCCAGAATTACCAAAACAATCTGGAAAAAAACCAACAACAAATAAAACAAAATTAGAAGACTCATACTTCCTGATTTCAAAACTTACTACAATGCTACAGTAATCAAGACAATGTGGTCTGGTATAAGGACAGACAGATAGATCAATGGATTTCATAATTTCTAAGACAACAAAATGGGTAAAGAATAGTCTTTTCAACAAATGGTGTTGGAACAACTGCATATCCACTTGCAAAAGAATAAAGCTAGATCCCTACCTCACACCATATACAAAAAATTGACTCAAAGTAGATCAAAGAACTAAGTGTAAGAGCTAAAGGTGTAAACTGCTTGGAAGAAAACTTAAATGTAAATCTTCACGACCTTGGATTAGGCAACGGTGTCTTACATACGACACTGAAAACACAGGCAACCAAAGAAAAATAAATAAATCGGACTTCCTCAAAATTAAAAACCTGGGGCCGAAAAAAAGAGAAATAAAGGGGCTGGCCCAGTGGCCGAGTGGTTAAGTTCACGTACTCCGCTTCGGTGGCCCAGGATTTCACCGGTTTGGATCCTGGGTGTGGACATGGCACCGCTCATCAGGCCATGCTGAGGCGGTGTCCTACATGCCACAACTAGAAGGACCCACAACTAAGAATATACGACTATGTACTGGGGCCACTTTGGGCAGAAAAAGGAAAAATAAAATCTTTTAAAAATTAAAAAGCTTTGTGCTTCAAAGGATGCTATGAAGACAGTGAAAAAGGCAACCCACAGAATGGGAGAAAATATTTTCAAATTGTATGTCTGATAAGGGACCAGAATTCAGACTACATAAAGAACTCTTGCAATAAGATGACAACTTTGCTAAAGAATAGGCAAAGAATTTGAATAGATATTTGTCTAAAGAAGATATACAAATGGCTAATAAGCACATGAAAATACGCTCAACATCCTTAGTCATTAGGGAAATGCAAATCAAAACCGCAGTTAGACCCTACTTTATACCACTAGAATGGCCATGATAAAAAGATGGACAATAACATGGAAGATAAACAAACACAGGACAAAGAGAACAGTTCAGTGGTTACTAGGGGAAGGGGGCTGGGGGTGGGCACAGGGGGTGGTGGACATGTAAGAATGTACAACTGAAATTTCACAATGATGTAAATGATTATGAACTCAATAAGAAAAGAAAGATGGACAATAACAAGGATTGGTGAGGGTGTGGAGCTGTTGAAACGCTCACACATTGCTGGTGGGAATGTATAATGGTATAGCTATTTCGGAAAACAGTTTGACAGTGCCTCAGCAAGTTAAACATACAATTAGCATATGACTAAGCAATTCCACTCCTAGTATATACCTAAGAGAAAGGAAAATACATGTCCATACAAAAATTTGTACATGAATGTTCATAGCAGCATTATTCAAAATAGCCAAAAAGTGGAAGCAATCCAAACGTCCATCAATTGATAAACAGATAAATAAAATATGACATTCCATGCAATGGAATATTATTCAGCCATACAAAGGAATGAAGGGGCTGGCCAGGTGGCTGAGTGGTTAAGTTTGCACGCTCTGCTTCAGTGGCCTGGGGTTTGCAGGTTTGGATCCTGGGTGCGGACCTACACACTGCTCATCAAGCCATGCTGTGGTGGCGTCTCACATCAAAATAGAGGAGGATTGGCACAGATGTTAGCTCAAGGACAATCTTCCTCAAGGAAAAAGAGGAAGATTGGCAATAGATGTTAATTTAGGGCCAATCTTCCTCACCAGAAAAAAGAAAAAGAGGAATGAACTGCTTATACATGTTACAACATGTATGAACCTTGGAAACATTATGCTGAGTGAAAAAACCCAGACCCAAAAGGCCACATATTGTTTATATGAAATATCCAGAATAGCAACTCCATAGAGACAGAACGTAGATAACAGTTGCTAGGGATTTAGGAGAGGGGGAAGGGGAAAAATTGATAATTGATACAGAGTTTCTGTTCTGGGACTAGATATGGGTGATGGTTGCACAACTTTGTGAACATGCTAAAAAAAAAAGCCCACTGAATTGTATACTTTAAAAGGGTGATTTTTATGGTGTGCGAATCATATCTAAATTTTTAAAAAGGCCTTAAGGTCCTGGAAAAAAAAAGATCTCCTGACTGTCCTGGGACTGCTGTTTCTCCTGAAACACGTCCTGGTCCTCAGTAACCCGAACTCTCCTCCCGGGGTCGACGCCTGTTGCAGGGGTTGCCGAGTCAGCTCTGTTGAACTTTCCACCTAGGGAGTCCCTGCCCCACAGACATGGTGACATGTCAACATCGAATTACTTAACGTCGCAAACCTTCTCTGTCCCAAGTACACAGACAGGATTTGCACAAACCTTCTGTGTGTTCACAGCTCTTTCACTTGGCCAAGAGTTTCGGTTTTTCAGCCCCAATGCCCCAGCTGAGTGGTGTTTCTCTTTGGGAGTGTTTATCTAGGGTGTTAAGCTGCCCCTTAAGTTTTCTGAAGCTCCTATTTTCTGCCCAAGATTCTGGGAAAAGCATGGCTAGTTTTGGCTGTGGGAATCAACTGAAAGAAACGGAATAGATTTGTGCATGTTTGGAAACCAGAGAAAGGATTTGATGGGAAAAATATGTTCATTTTTATAATTCCTGTTGTGTTTAGTTTTGCAGAGTCAATTTGCAAGCTTTCTCAGGCCCTACAATCTTGGTCCTGTAATGAGGCTATACTGCCTCCACGTGGTGTAGGCTGCCCAGGCACTTCATTCTGAACCAGGAGTCAACAAACTTGCCGTAAAGGGCCAGATGGTAAATATTTTAGACTTTGAGAGTCGTATGGTCTCAGTCACAATTAGTCAACCGCCCTTGTAGAGTGACAGTAGCCACAGATAATAGGTGAACAAACAGATGTGGCTGTGTGCCAGTAAAACTTTATTTTAAAAAGCAGGCTTGGGTCAGATTTGCCCTGCAGCCCCGTTTCTTGATCCCCCGTGTAAACTTGTGGTGCTCAACACAGTCACGCGTCGCTTAACGATGGGCTACATTCTGAGAAATGCCTTGTTAGGTGACGTTGTCCTTGTGTGAGCGTCATAGAACGTACTTACACAAACCTAGATGGTGCAGCCTTCCACACATCTCGGCTCTGTGGCACAGCCTATCGCTCGCAGTTACAAACCTGTGCCACTGTGCTGAATCCTTCAGGCAATTGTAACACAATGGTCAGTATTTGTGTATCTAAACACAGAAAAGGTACAGTAAAAAGATAAAAAATGGTGCACCTGTATAGGCCACTTACCATGAATGGGGCTTGCAGGACGGGAAGTTGCTCTGGGTGAGCCAGTGGGTGGTGAGTGAACGTGAAGGCCTAGGACGTTACTGTAACTACTGTAGACTTTATAAAAGCTGTACACTTAGGCTACAGTAAATTTATATAAAAAATATTTTTTCTTCAATAATAAATAAACCTTAGCTTACTGTAACTTTTTACTTTATAAAAATTTTGACTCTTGTAACAACGAAGCTGGGTACCTGAGGGTTACTGAACTGGCGGGAGGCACGGCCTGGGGACAGGTGGGCGCTCGCCTGGCTCCACCCAGGGGCCATGAGCAGCTGCGGCAGTGGAAGAGCTCGCTGCTTAGTCTCTTCACAGCAGGCTGGACACTGGGCTGGAGCTGGAAGAGATGTGTCCTTGGGTCAGAAATTTCCAGGCCTAGTGGGAGGGCTGTGCCAGGACTGACCCTGGGTGGAATACTCTTTCAAAGTCTGCTTTTGAAAGCCCTGCAAATAGTAAGCTAGCCACCCCTTGACTGGTCTAAATTAACAGAGGTCCAACAAGGCCCTGAGGACAATCCCTCTGCCTTTTTGTCCCAGAGGCTACGGGACTGCCTCGGGGGATCTATTTGGATGGAGCCCAGGGCAGTAAAGTGATTCTTAATACCTATCATATCTCAAAGTGCTCCAGACATCCATAGGAAACTCCAAAAGTTGGCTATAGGCCCTGACGCTAATTTTGCACAGCTAGTAGAGGCTGCCTTTAGGGTGTTCAATACCCAGGATGTAACTGAGGATGAAAAAGAAGACAGGAAGATGAAAAGGCAAGCTGTGCTGCTAGCTGTGGCCCTCCATCCTACTCAAGGTAACCTGAGGGAAAGGAAGATGCCATGGGTGAGTGACCTTGGCCCCCACCGAGGGACCACAAGGCCACCAACAAAGTTGAGGGCTAATCAATGTGCATACTGCCAGCAGGAAGGGCATTGGCGGTGGGACTGTCTGAACTGTCCCCAGAGAAGGAGGGGATCAAACAGGACTGGGTCATGCCAGCTTCCCTTGACTGCAGATGAGATGTGATGGGCAGTGGGGGTTCCGTGGTTGGCTCCAGGAGCCCCAGGTGACCTTGGCAGTAGGAGGAGAGCATGTTGAATTTTTGTTGAACACTGGAGCCACCTTTTTGGTGTTGAACACCCAAAAGGGAAACCTTTCTAAAGGAAAGTGTGACATAAAAGAGGTATCAGGAAAAGGAGAGACCACAAGATTTCTGGAGTCCTTGGCCTGTGAAATAGGATAAAAAGTGCTGAAGCATTCTTTTCAGTATGTACCAGAATTCCCTCTTCCCTGTGTAGGGAGGGACACGCTACCTAAGTTAGGGGCCTCAATAAGCTGAGAACAAGACCAAATAGAGATCCCAGTGATGTGGATTAGGGCTGCCCCAGGGAGAGAAGCCCACGGTGTCCTGCCTACATGCTGATCAATACGACCCGATGGATTTCATGGTGTGGATTAGGGCTGCCCCAGGGAGAGAAGCCCATGGTGTCCTGCCTACATGCTGATCAATACGACCTGACGGATTTCATGGTGTGGATTAGGGCTGCCCCAGGGAGAGAAGCCCAGGGCATCCTGGCCTACATGCCGATCTATATGACCAGATTCATATCTAGTTATACGACCACACAATAACCAGACCCCATCTGCACCAAAACCATTTAATGACTTTTTACATCATCTTTTCTTTGTCTAGTAAAAATAAGTCACGTACCCATGCTTTATAAATTTAGCCCTAACCCTCAACATGTGGCAGCTCTTCACTGTCCATGGGTCCTGGCCCCATGC